GCTGTCTGAAAATAGAACGGGCTGCCTGAAGAGTTTGGTGGGTTCCCCTTCTTGGATGTTTTCAATCAAAACTGGGAGGACCACTTGTCTGGTATGTTAGAGTGAGAATTCTTTTTTATGTATAGGTTGGACCAAATGACTGCTGAGGACCATTCCTCGGATTCTGTGATTCTGTGGAGGTCGATAGCGAGGGGGATCCCAACTTGAGAATTGTTGAAGTGGAAATGATGGTAGGACAAAGAGAGACAAAGGATTTAAGTGTAGAGAAATGCATACTTGAACTAGCCACCTAACTATGGAGTCAAGGCTGTGAAGGCAGAAGGGAAATCAGGCCAATATAAGACTTGGAAAATTGGGATGGATGGAGGGGCTAGAGGTCATGGTGAGGGTGGAGAAAGATGGTATGTGTTCTCCTTACAGGGTGACTGTGGGCAGTTTGGGCTTAGTTTTGGGGCCCTGTGATTGGGGTCCCCAAGGATTATACCAAACTGAAATGTGGTGCCAGGGTTAGACTCATGGTCAAATTGGAAGGGAGGTCCAAAAAACCGTGGAGTTTTCAGAAACTGTTAATGGTCATCCATTAACTGTGTGATAAAGGCTTGATTTTGTCTAGAGCATCATGTCCATTTTGGCCTGTGTGGTGAAGGCCTCCTCTGCTGTAGGTTGTATTAGTTTTCTTATGCCCTATCCATCTTTGAATTTCCAGGTCAAAGCCTCCCAACCTAGAACTAATTTTACCCTCATTTGATCTCATTGCACTTTACCTAGTTCTTATGCACTTATCAAAGTCTAAAATGCAATATATTTAATTATCTAAAGTCTTTTTTTCTCCCATTAGATTATAAAGACCTTGAGATCAGGGACATCATTTTATTTGTTTACTTATTTTTGTTCTTCTTTCCTCCTGCAGTGCCTAATGGAGTGCCTTATATAGTGAGTGCCTAATAAATGTTCTTTGGATGAATTAACAACAACAAAAAATTGGAAATTTAGTTTTCTGTTGATTCATCCTAAACCTAGGTAGTTAGTGACACAACAACACAGCATTTTATTGCTTCTTGTTTCTATAAAGCTTTAAATTTAACAGTTTCATTCCAAAAACATTTATTAATGACCTTTTCTGTACGGTGTCCTCTGATATTTAATTAGTATTAACTTTTATAGAGCATACGCCATATTACATGTTGTTAATTCTCATGAGATATGCACACTTTTGAATAAGTGCAGAATATGATTAAATAATGAGCCAATGTGGGACAGTATCCAGAGTGTTGGATTTGGAGTGAGAAAGTCATGGGTTCCCATCCTGCTTCTAACACATAAAAATTTGTGACCATGGACAACTAACAACCTTATTAACAGTTGATGGAGGTTGCTGTAGATGGAGTGCCCATTTGGAGCAAATCATAGATCTTCGAAATATCTCTGTACTTAAGATTAAAAAAAATTAAGAATACAGTAATAAACATTACAAATATTTTATTTTAGATTCCAGAGAATCATTATTCTCTGCCTTCTGTGCTCTTACCTGAAGCTAAACACAATATTGAGAAAGAAAGCATTGTACATACTAGCTGTCCAGCATCAATGTCAACTCCAAATGAAATTCAGGAAGTTCATAATAGTGATGGACCTTATACCAACTTTTTGGAGTAAGTTTTTACTTAAAACTTCCCTTCATTAACGTAGGTGTGTGGAGAAGACTTCTGGAGTAGAGACTAGAGGTATTAAATGACTGATTTTTGTGTGTCTTTTAACTATGATAGTAAGTAGTGAGGATCCCTTAACAGTTTCTTTTAAAATGATGGAAATAATCATTTATTTTTCCTGTTATTTGTTTTTGCTTAAACCTTTTTGAGAAAGTGGTTATGATTGAATATTAAATTTTGACATGTAACCTATAGGATTACATAAAAACTATGAGTAATCAATTTTTAATAATTTTTTTTAATTTGTGAAAGTAACTGAAATTCTTTTAGTCATTTCAGTATGCAGGATATATATTCATTAAGGAATAACAGAAAAGACTCCTTTTTGAAAGGGGTCAAATAAGTTAGAATTCTCATCATTTGAGTACGTCTTTTCATAACTATCTATGAAGGTTCTTTTCTGCTTTTAAAAAATAACAATGACTAAGCTGTTTTGAAAAAAAGTACTTTTATCAAAAGCCACATTTTGGTCTAGTTTGTAATTTTTTTTCCTGACATTTCTCTTAGTAGAATAACAACTCAATCAAAAGAACCTAAAATAAAAGAACTCATTGAGGAGAGCATTTCTATTACTCATGTTACTGATAAAGAATTTACAGATTTTGATGAAGATATCCTAGAAGAAATGGAAACATTCACACAAGAGGAAATGAAGGTGCCAGACTGTGGAGGTAAGTTCATTTAGTAGATAACTTATTAATCTGATGTTATAAATTTGATGCTGATTTTAAGCCAATATTGTAGTTACTATATTTATTTTAGAGTTGTCTAAAACTATAATTTTAAAATTATTTTATTATTAAAGAGTTTATGTTTATTAGCTTGGAGACAGGTATATTTTTGCCTAAAATATTTTAGCTACTTGTAATATTTTTTCCTGTTGTACCATTACAATGTCCTTTAGGCTATTTGTATGAAAAAGTGTCGTCTCTTAGAATTTGTGAGCCAGTTGATCAAGATCCCTAGATCTGAAGGTCATAGAATGTTAAGAATCCAGAGAATTACTAAGCCAGTGACTAAAGACTCATGAGTGCTCACTTCAAGCACATATATTAAAATTGAAACTCTACAGAGAAGATTAGCATGGCCCCTTGTGCAGGGATGACATGCAAATTCATGAAACCTTCCATATTTTTACCAGGAGAACAATCTTCACAGTAACAGCAATATTGTAGAGATAATTAACTTTGAAAGTAACTGATAGATGCAATGACCAACCACAATTCCAAAGGGCTCTGATTAGATCAGAACATATGTGGAAGTAATATGAGATCTTAATGAGAGGCATGGTTGCATCAGATTATGGTGAGCTTTGAATGTTCCTCTCTAATAGTCAGTGAGTGATCTATCCTGGATATTAATTTTCGCCTATACCATTGTAGCTTAATAAGCATTAAAATGGACAGCTTACATAGACATATATAAATTTTCATCTACCTTTAAGTTGGAATTGTACAGAAAAGTACAAAAGTATGAACCAGTATATGTTTATTTGGAGAGAATTCTCAATATCTGAACTTGAGTTGGTAGGCAGTAGGGAGCTATTGAAAGGTTCAATTCAATTCAATATTCAATTAAATTAAGATTTGTTAAGTGCCTACAATGGACCAAACACTGTGCTGTATGCTGGGTTTTATATAAGAGGTTGGCATGCATATTAATAATCACTTGCTTCAGTTGTGACTGACTCTTCTTAATCTCAATTGGAATTTTCTTGTCAAAGATACTGGAGTGGTTTGCGATTTCCTTCTCCAGCTTATTTGACAGATGAGGAAACTGAGGCAAACAAGATTAAGCAACTTGCTCGTGGTCACACAGCTAGTCTGAGGCCTAATTTGAACTCAGGTCTTCCTGACTGCAGGCCCAGCACTCTGTCCATTGCTCTGCCTAGTTGCCTGGCTCATGCGTATAGTTATGCTTGAAGATGATATTCTTGACAGCAGCATGCATATATGCACATGTACACACAAATGCATTCACACTCACATATATATGCATATGTGCATGTATCATGCATGTGAATATAGGCATATATGTATATACATCTGTATATATCTACATACACCCATGTGTATAAATGCATACATATAACACACATGTATGTGTGTTTGGGGAAGGGTAGTGTAGAGTGAGAATAAAAGGTAGGAGGTTATCCTAGTCAGGTTGCTAAAAAGGACCTGATCTAGGATGTGACAGTGGTGACAGTTGTGGTCCCACATCTGGGGTAAATGATCATCCAGAGCCTGAGGATTTAGATAAATACTCCTTTTAATAAAAACATCCAGTGATCTTCAGATAAAAATTAATCTACAGGGTAATAAAAAAAAACCAGTCCAAGAATGTTGAAGCAGGTTAAAAACCTCTGACAAGGAGGTTCTCTAAGGTCTCAGAAGCTCCTTTGCTAGAGTCCTAAAACTTATATTTTCTTTACCCAGAGTCTATAGCTGGGTTAGCTTAAACTTTCCCAGGTCTGCTCCATAGCATCTTTGATCACAGTAGCAGTTGAGGTTGTGAGATTATGGGAGAGTTAACTCAAATTCCACTAGTGTTGGCTCTACAACAAATGGGAATAGAGAAGAGGAGACAGATATAAAAGATACTGCTGAGGTAAAATCAATAGGACTTGGTAACTGTAACACCAAGATTACAAACATGGGAGACTAGGTAAATGATCATATAATGCTGGCAAAAATATTGAAATCAGGAAGAGGAGCAAGTTATTAGGGAGAGATAATTAAGAAAAAACATTTCTCTTGAATATATTGAATTTAATGTGCCATTTGGACACGAGTGTCCTGTAGGACAATACAGATGTTCTATAGGTAGTTAGAAATAAGGGTTGTAGTTCAGGAGAGTTCAGGTAGGTTTGATGGTCATCTATCTAGAAGTGACAGTTGAAGCTGTGGGAGTGAATGAGATCACCTCAAAACAGCATATACATACAGGAAAAAGAGGACCAAGTCAGAACATGGGAGGATTTCCACATTAAGGGATCAACAGAAGAGGAATAAAAGCCATCAAAAAACAGGAGTGATTAGAGAGGTAGGAGAACTCAAAAGGCAAAGGAGGAAAAAATATCCGGAGTGAGAAGGTGTTCAATAGTGTCACATGCTACACAGGGCATATTCAAGATCGATGACTAGACACTTTTTCTTATCCTCGTGACATCTCAAACCTCTCCAAAATAAGAATTTTTGGAAGAGATGAAAACACTTTTAGTTGTCTCCAAGGTCTAAAACACCAAGAACCCTAATGAGGTAAAAACCCAATGAACTATCATCAGAGAAGGCTAATCTCTAACCTACAACATGCTCACTCAGCATCCCCTCTTCCATCAGCCATCATGTTATAGCAGGACTTCACAAGCTGACCCATTGGCTTGCAACAAAACTCAACTCTATTCTGTCCTCAACCTTGTGCCCTGGAAAACCAAAAGGCAGAAGCTTTCTGTGGCTGGGACAGCAGCATGGTAATGTTAAGGAATAGAAGGAACTGGGCAGGACACCAGCATCTGTGGCACTCTATTAGGTCTGAGGAAAAGAGGATTGGTATCTAGTTGGGCACAGTTCTGTCTTCCTAGAAGTCATTTGGGGCAGAGACCAAGGCCAGTGAATTCGTCAGTGTGGGAGGAAGCTGAAATGAGTTCGAGGTCTCCTTCTTGGAGGTCACTATCATCAAAAGAAAAGGAGTCAGAAAGAGGAATAGGGGAATATAAGAGAAAAAGACTGAAATTACCAAAGATCCCAGGAGGAAGAAAACAAGTTAACATGAGCAGATAAACCCATAGGGAAGATATTAATAACAGAAGTGATTATGGCCTCTAGATTGGCCAAATAAACTCAGATATCTATGAATAAATATTACAAGAAAAAGGATACCTAATGAAGCAGAAGACCTGTATGGAAAAACATCAGGATGTTCACAAATGGTTTAAAGGAGATATAAGAATTGTGAAAGTAGAATTTATGGCCTGAACAGCAGAAATAATTGACAGAATAAAAAAACTTGAATCCACCATGGCAAACTTCACCAAAGAAACAAAAGAGAGAATAAATGATTGGGAATGAAAATGTACAGAAGTAAAGGATAATCTTGAAGAAGAGAAGCAAAAATTTATAAAATTAAAAGAAAACATGATCTTTATATAATCAAAACCTAACAATCTCTATTACAAGATACGTAGAGATAGCCTAAGGATAAGAAGTTTCCCAGAAAAACAAGAAAAGTCAAAAACACTGGATAATAATGCTGGAAGTAATCCAATAAAACTGCCTTCAATTTCTGAACATAGAAAACAGAGTGCCATTCCAAAGAATTCATGGATAACTTCCAAGAAAACAAAAACTCCAACATGTACAGTGGTTAAATTTAACAATTCCATTGACAACAAATTTTGCAAGGGACCAGGAGGAAGACCTTCAAATATAAAGTTAAAGAAATTCAAATAAGAAAAGACTTTTCTGTACCCACTAGAAACGCCAGGAGGAGATGGAATAATGTGTTCCCAGAGTAACATACCCTGCAAACTTGAGCCTAATCATTAATGAAAAAAGATGTGTTCAATGAAAAAGAAATATTTGGAACACTCCTATAATGAAAACCAGATGTAAAATGTGTTTGCTTCACAAACAGACCAGATAATAGGAATATAAGAAAGGTAAGCAAATACAGCAACCAAGTAGGATATTAAAATAAATTACCTCCGGTAAAAAATAGCTAAAAAGAAAAAAATATACCTGTCAACAACAAAATAACAACAGACCATTAAGAGATTTTTTCAAAGGATACAAGGAGACAAGTTTGATAGCAGAAGTCAAATAGAAGGAGTAATAGTGGAGGCCTGAAACATCGTGGACTAAATCTTACAACACACTGCCTGCAGGTCAATCAGTCTTTGTGTGACTAGATTGCAAAATGGGAGGATGTGGAAAAGGGGAAAGGGGAGGTAGAAAATAAAGGGGATTAGGTGACATACCCTAATCAAGTCAAAGGTTAACAATCAAAGGAAAATAACTCCTGTAACCTCTCAGGAGGAAGAAGGTCTGCAAGAGAATAGGGAGGAGGCAAAGGGAAGGATTAAAGCAGAGGAAAGGAAATGGAGAAGTCTTGTTTCATTGGTAGAAATGGGGACCTCACTGAAAAATGCCTCCATGGGGTAAGAGAGATCTGTAAATGGAGAGGGGGACCTTACGGTGGGCATAATCTCCAGGGGTTTGGTGTTTGGAGAGACTATTCATCCTGCCTCAAAGAAGGGGAATCAGAGCTCTTGGGGGCAACTTTTGCCCAGATGAGGAGGAGGACATGGACCCTGGCAAGAGATTTCATGACAAATGGGGAAAAATGATTGTGCAGAAGAGCACAATGTGGTAAGGATCTGCACAGTCAGAAACAGGAAAATTCCTTCCAAGGGGCAATACTCCTATTTTCTATCATCTGCAGGAGCTGATATTTTTGAATGTGAGGCATAACAGAAGGGAAAGCACATTCAGTACTGTGATATAAAGGGACACTAGCCTATAAAGAGCCAGTGTAGACAGAACGTACCCTTGAAAAAAAATTTAAAGGTATTTGCCATTGAAAGATTGAACAGAGATGGGAGGATAGAAGGGTCAAAAGAAGTCCTTTTTAGAATTGGGAGACCTGAGCATGCTCCTAAGGAGATGAAAGGAACATGGCATTTCCCATCATGGACTCTCAGCTCCAGGCTAATTGGACTAGTAGTTCACAGTTCCTCAGAGTTGGCTTTCTATTTCTCATCTTCTTGCTTTTGAACAAGCCATCCCAATGTGCTTCCTCATCTGTTTCTTTCAGAATCCTTATCTTCCTTCAAAACACTTCGCTCAGGTGTCACTTTTTCCATGAGACTTCCACTGATTTACCTAATTTATTAATGGTCTCTGCTCAGATTGTCTTACATTTATATATCTGTATAGATATACATATATATTTATACACATATTTACACATATACATATTTATATACACTCACAAACATATATTTATATTTATATCCCTTTCCTCTTCCCCCAAAGAATATAAACTCTTTCCATTGTGATTCTTTTTTTTTCTTTTTAATTTTTAGAGGCAATCAGGGTTAAGTGACTTGCCCTGGGTCACACAGCTAGTAAGTATCTGAGTTCAGATTTGAACTCAAGTCCTGCTGATTGCAGGGCCAGTGCTGTGTCCACTGCATCATCTAGCTGCCCCCAGAATACAAACTCTTTAAGGACAGCAACAGCAACTGTTTCTATTTCATCTTTGTATTTATGGTACCTATCAGAGTGCTTTAGCTCTTTGTAGTCACATAAATGTTTGTTGAATTGAATTGACAATATATGGCAAAAGGGATGATTGCTACAGCAAAGTTTTGGAGGTTGTCTAACAATATAAAAGTAAGAGAGAGGCCTCTTTTCTGAGACAAGATAATGGGAAAGGAAAATGGTTGATAATAATGAGATGTTTCAAGGGCTAGAATACGGAGTTTGAGAGATTAGATGACCTCACTTCTCAGCGAAGTAAAAGGCCATTCACTCTTTTATAAGTGGTGGGGAATGGGGACTTGAGGAGAGCGTAAAAGTTTTAGAATGGTCACTGAGAGGAACCTAAGGATTTAATAATCATACTTTTAAAATATTCCTCTGAAAAAGTTAATAAATTGACTGCCATTTAATTTTCGATCTTGGTTGTTTATTTCAAATGTTCTAAAAATCAACTCAGTTCTAAGATAATTATTTCTGCTTTTTTGTGTCTCAATCTAGAGAACTCTGAAGAATCATTTGGAAGTCTAAAAAACACTGAAATTTCTATCAGCCTTATGTCATTAGAAGGGCAATCAGAAGAAGTAAGTAAGGTTACATGTGGGTGACTCAAGTTGGCTGTTTCTTTTAGTTGTTAATGTTATAAATGCATCTGCTTAGAGTATAAACATATCATTAACATCTCACTATTCATCTTATTTTAAAAATTATTGATGAAAAAAATCCCCATGCAATAATTTTTCCTTAAAATTGAAATGTTGAAAGTGTCTGTTAAGTTAATTAACTTTAGCTTGTGAACTTTAATTTCACAAATTACTTCAATAATTTAATATCATCAAGGAAAGTGGCAGATGTCTTAAGTGTCAGGCAAAAAGTATAATTTCTTTAATGTACATGTAGGAAAACTTGTGCGTGTTATATATTCTTTGGTGTCTTAGAACTTGAAACTTTCATCTGGTAGAATACTTTATTCACAGCTAGACTGAAGGTATGTTTAGATATTTTACTACTTGAAAGAACTCTTATACAGTGACAATCACACCATATTTTAGAGTTAAAGTAATAGAGTAAGAACCGTGTATTTGCATGAGAGGAAGAACAATTGCACCATTCTGCTTCTTTCTCAGCTAGCTTATAAGCTTATCTGTCCTTCACTTTTCTATCTACCTACCTATCTATATCTTATTCAAAGGACAGGTGGCAGATTATGCAGTCTCAATATCTGGATAAGAGCATAGTTTCATAAGTCATCTATTTTGAATTCTTGCTAAGCCACAGTATTATTAAAGGAAACAGACTTTGCATTTGTTGGAGTTTCGTTGCTCTAGGCAGAGGTACTCAAACTTATTTGGCCTATCTCTCCCTTTAAAAAAAAATTACTCAAACCCTCCCCCTCCCCAAATCTACTTTCTTTAACTCTTTAACGGTTTTTTTTTTAATTTGCATCATTTCAATCTACTTTTGCCCCTTGATCATTCCAGTGCCCCCCATGGAGCAGTATTGCTAACTTTAGGAACCTATACCTAAGGGAAAGGTTCTTAACCTCTTTTGTGTCATTGATTCCTTTTGCAGTTGGTGAATCCTACGAATGCCTTGCTTGGAATAATATTTTAAAATTAGAATTACAATGTAAATCGAAAGTTAGTGAAAATACAGAGAGAGGTAATTTTTTTCTTTTCCAAGTTCAAGAAGCCCAAGTTAAGAACCCCTTTTCTAGGGGAATAGTTGTTCATGAGGCTTAATTAGAGTCGGGATGCCCATGGCTATATGCACAATTGTTCTTTTTTTATGCCATTTGATCATGTGTTATGTTTTAGCAGCATTCCAGAAAAAAGGTTGAGTGTCCATTGAAAGAATCAGTGGAAGAACTGGTGAAAACGTCATTTGAGCAGAAAGAGTAAGGTTTAAAAATTTTTTTAAATGATTATGATAATTGGCTCATTGAGTTCAGTGAAACTTTTTCCCTCAATTTTTAATATTTTTCTGATGTTATTTTACTTACAAATCAAGTTTTATCTTAGTATATTTGAACTGTAGCTAACAGACACCATTTTATTTGGCCTTGGCAAATGTTATATTTCTCAGTTCTCTCAAACTGAAAGTGATTTACTTATAAAATATTTTTCTCATCCTATCATCATATTGTATAAAATGTAATTTGAAACTATAGTATGACAACTTAACATCAGTTTTTACTTTGTATGTAATATTTCTAGATAAGTTTAAAGTTTGTGAAGGTCCTTTTTAGTGGAAAGTCTTTTATGAGTTATATTTTTGTTGAAAAGGCCTCCTAAAGAGTACTAGTAAGAAACATAGCATGCACATATTCTTACCTTGGTGTTCAAATTCAGCAGAGGGTTGCTGAGATGCCAGGCATGATCCTTTGCCATAAGATGAGATACTGACTGATGCAAATAGGCATCTTGCTGCCCGTGCTCACCCTCCAGATTTGTGATCATTGCTATACGTTCTTGCCTCTATTCTCCACCTTTTCATGTGGTATTTTAGTAACTTTTCTCCCCATATTGAGGCCCCTTGTGCCCTCATCTTACATCTAAACACTTGTTCCATCCATACCTTGAACTGCTCCTCATAACCCTCCAGAGACCGTGTAACTGACCATGTGCTGTGGGAACATCGAGTCATGAGATTAGAGAGACCCCAGAAGTGATCGAGCCCAGCCCCTCCTCCCCCCTTCCCATTTTGTTTAAGGAAATTGATGTCCAGGGGAGGGAAAGTGATTTGCCCAGGTAGTAAATGATGATGGAGTCAGGATTTGAATGCATTTAAAAAACCCAAATCCAGTTTTCAGAAACCAATCAATCAACAGGCTTTTATCAAGAGTACTATGTTAGGGGATATAAATACAAAGAAGAAAACAGTCCCTTCCCTCGAGGAGTGTGTACATACACACACACACACACACACACAGACAAATATACATGCCACATACGTGTGTATATACAGAAACACATAGAATAAATTAAAAATAATTAAAAAGGCGGTTAGGGAAAGAGGGAAGTGGGTGAAATTAGCTTCTTTGCCTATTAACCAAATGGCAACCTCTCCATCCCCTTTTTAACAACCCCCCCCCCTTTTTTTTTTACTGGCTAAGCTTTCTGTCCCAATACAAATTATTCATAGACTCCCACTTATGGTAATATCCACATCCTAGGCCAAAGTGGCCTTCGTTTAGTAGTGGGTGAATGTAGAGCCTCACAGATAAGGGCCCATCAGCAGGATGTAAAGAATGATGCTGCCTGGAGAAAGTATTCATGGTTCAGATAAGTCATGATCAGAGAGAGTGACCCAGAACCATGTCAGATACAGCCCACTTTTACCAAATACCAGATCCAGAGGGCCAAAGTGGATCAAGGCAGATGCAGTACAAAGGAGGACAGTAGATGCCTATGACATAGTAGTGGATTTAGACAGCACATACTTTAAATGAATCAAGGAGAGAAGCTCAGGTGTCCTACAAGTACACCAGGTACCTTCTCATTTCCTTTATGAGACCTTTTATATCACAGGTGTAGGGACTTGGCATTGAGGAACTTCCTCTATGAGTTTCTGCAGCTTACAGCCTGAGGCACTAAGAACTTAAGTGCCTTTACCTGGTCACATCAGCCATTGTGTGTGAGAGATCTGACTTGAACCCGGGTCTTCCTGACTTTGAGCCAGATTTTCTGTTTGCTATATAGTGAATAGTATATATACTGTTTCTTGCTTTCTATTGGTAGCTATTAAGCAAAACTCCTGGATGTGTGACCCTGGGAAAGTCACATAAGCTCTTAGTACTCTATGCAACTCTAAGATTATGTGTTACCAAGAATGTGCTGATCTGCATTGATAAAAAGAATTTCCTCACTTAGGACTTCTCTATATCATTGAAAACAAGATGTCTACCTCCTACTCCTATTACAAAGATACTTTAATAAATAAAATGACAGACTGCAATGCAGATATTTCTCTTAATGAAAAATAAAATTTATTGTTTAAAATGTCACAAGTAGACTTAGTAATAAGGACAACAAATTTCACTTAAGAAAGGAAGAAGAAACTTTGAATACTCTGAAAATGTAATATTTATTTTAAGCCCTGTGTTCATTTTCCAGTGTTTTTCAGTCAGAGATGTTTTTCATATATTATGTTTAAATGGTCAAAGCCTATTCATTGCCTTTCAGTTGGTTGCTAATTGCTATGGAGACAATTGTAAACAAACTGTATTTATGAACTCAACAGCAGGCTATTATGAAGGGATAGTGATTGTGTATCCATGAAAGACTGACACTTAGATTGCCTGTATTAGGGGTAATTTAATATATGTAAAATCTTGAAAATACGCTACATAAAATCTCTTTTCTAATCTTATAGTATGGTTGAGACTGTTGCTGACATTAAACTCACCATTCCTCACTCGGTCTGTTTAGATACAAGTACAGATACTTTTAGGTAAGAGAAAATGAGTTATGTTTCTCATTAAATAAATTATAGTGTCTTTGTACTTTAAGCTGTGAGTATTTTTGCACATATTTGATATTACAAGTGTATTTTCTACTTATCATTAGAATATTTAAAACAGATTTTAAACCTTGTATAATCTACATTTTAAGGTGCCAAAGAGGCAAAATTTTATGTCAAAATAGGAAATAAACAGTATGTTTGTAATAAGAGATAGACTTTGTTCCTAGTTTTAAACTTCTAACCATGCTTTTAAAAGAGCATTTGAAAAATCCTGTACTCTCACAGGACAAATTCTGTTGTGAAAATGCTCCTTCCAACTCCAACTTCCAGTTTTATTTTATACTCATTGAAAGGTAGGGTGACCTGAAGATTAGTAGTCTTTCCAAATCAGTAGGATGATTTTTTTGCATTTGGACTCATGAGGTTCCTAAAGATAATTTCCATATTAACAATGAGAATTGATGTTATTGAGTGTTTATTTAAAGTAAGGCACAAATCTGTCTTGAAATAAACAGGACAGCTGTAGTGTGTGTTTCATAGATCTAACTGTGAAGGCTTATTTGTGTACCTTAGTCTAAACTTGAATTCCAAGTATGTTGTTATCCCAAGCTAAATCTCTCCAGAGAAAAGACTTTAATTTCCACATAATTATACATATCCGGAAATCAATTCTTATAACTTAAACAAGTTTGAAACCAAAGTTTTTAGAAGGAAAGAGAAAGAATTAGGAAATATTATTTTAGTATATTTCCCGGCTTGGATTTGAAATAGTTTAACTGACTTTTTATGTAGACATACATAAATGTCAGTATTGATTCCTTTATTTTTCTTGCTAGATTTAAGCTGTAATTACTTTAATATGAATTGCCTTCTTTATGGTTTAGTTCATGCAGTTTTCAGCTTTTCGTAAACATCGTTTATCTTTACTTTAAATATTTTTGATAGGCTTTATAATCTTCATCACCTTCTTTTTTAAGCATTAATTCCTCTACACATGATCTGTGGTTAATGCAAAATCTGAAGCTTAGGAAGTGAAATTTGAACGTTATGTTTGAAATTTATCAGCTCTCATTAGTATTTCAGCTGCTGCTTTAGCTATGGAGAATGACATTCTTTACCCATTCTCTCTAGCCACTGGTTTCACAAAATGCATTTAGTTACATCTTACTCAGGGAACCTTAAAGCCAAATCATATAAGCTATATTGTCCCTGAAGTTGAAGTTTACTGACACTGTGTACTGAATTAAAGAAAAAAAGTGGGATCAATGTATTCTAATCACTGTTTTGAATTTAATTGCTAATATTAGTGATTGTCTGTATCTATTTTATGTATCACTTCATACAGCATACAAGTTTCTGCACCAAAAGACCGATCTTCCTCAGTTCCACCTCTGGTATCAGATACAACCACTGTTTCCTCAAATACTCCTATTTCAAAACGTCACAGGAGCCATAAAGATGTGTCCCCAGCTCAACTACCAAATTCTTCAGAACCTGTTACACAGATGCTCCATGATGAATTGTTTAGATTGGTTCAGGTAAGCTATGTGGGTACACACACACATATGTGTGTGTATACATGTGTGTGTTTGTATATGAAGCAGAATTAGAGAAGTTGAGATAATAGATATTCTTTCAAAAGAACTAAGGAAAGGCAAAAATTGCTTTCAAATTAAATCTGTTGATGCGTTGTCTCAGAAAATGACTGGTTAAAATCTGATTCTAGAAGATCTTCCTGTTCTGAATTTTTTCTTTGCTGTTAGTTACATGGAACTAAACAAATCTAGTTTTATTGTTTTATTCCCAGATGGGCCACTTATTTTTGTAGAAGGCATCTGACTCAAAAAACTCTCCTTTTCTCTCCATAAATCACATCATCATTTAGAGATTCTTTAGGGCTAATCAGTGTTTCCTTTAGGATGAAAATACTCTCTGGAAGAGTTAAGTATATTGGTCATTTACACCTTAGTATTAGTTACTTTTATTAGATTAGTACCATTTGAGCTTAGCCAGGGGAATTTTTTAAAAAAACTAATCATGATGGGACAGAAAAGCAGAGGTGTCCTACTGGGGACCCCTTGAACTTGTTCCCTTAATAGGAATCCCTTATCAGGATATACCTGCATTGTTATTTTAATTATGACAAAAGCTAAACCACAACTCAAATGTGTTTACTGTTTTATGTTTTTAATTTTTATTGAAAGCAAAATACATTATAAAAATTTGGGTTTTATAAAACTGTTTTTGAACTTTTATAGACTGCCTTTAAGTCTTATAAGTGGCTGGCTATCTTGTTTGAAAAGTAGTAGTTTAATAGAGATATGTCTTGTACAAATTAGACAAATTAAATACTTATTAAATTAAATTGAAACATCAGTATTTATCAAATGTTTATTCAGTGTTTACCATATTCAAGGCATAGTGCTAAGGACTATAGGGGTTACAAAAGTAAATAAGTTGTGGTCCCTGCTTTGGAGACACTTAAAATTTAGTTGGACCTAAAAAATAGGAATTCAAGTACCTTAAGAATTAGTTTTAAAGAAAAGTTGGAACATAACTCATCCTTTGGGGCAAGGATGGATGATAGTGAAAGGTCTGGGGGAGTAGAGAATAGGGAGGTTTCATAATCAGATAATTTTAGAGGTCATGTGTGGTCCCTTCCCTATCAGAACAAGAATCTCTTCTACAACAAGTTGAGGGGATCTCCTGTTTAATGATGTCAGGCTTCTCAGTGAAAGAGGTTGGACTATTAGCCATAAATTAGAGACTCAAAATAAAAGGGAAAAATTCTTAACAGTTGAGTTATAGAGAAACAACGAATGTAGAATGATGGCTTGTTCAAGACCTGTGGTTATATAGCACAAATTTATAGTAAGTTGATATCAGCATGATTTTACTGTCGTTGATGTTTCAGTTAATTAATTTCATACATTCACTTTTTAAAATTTTGAGTTCCAAATTCTCTCCCTCCCTCCCACTCCTCTCATCGAGAAGGCAAGGAATATGATACCCATTACACATGTGATATCAGCAGTGTTGCAAAAAAACAAAAACAAAAAAGAAGCAAGAAAAATAAGGTGAAAAAAAGTATGCTTCGATCTGCACTGCGTTCAGAATTGCCTTGGATCATTGTCCTGATCAGAGTAGTTAAATCTTTCACCATTGATCTTCATTATAATACTGCTGTTACTGTATGCAGTGTTTTCCTGGTTCTACTCACTGAAACCATCCTATTTGTCATTTCTTATAGCATGATAGTATTCCATCACAATATATACCACAACTTGTTTACCTGTCCCCAATTGATAGGTATTTCCTCAATTTCTAATTCTTTGCTCTCACAAAAGAGCTGATATAAATAATTTTGTATATGGAGATCTTTTCCCCTTTTCTTTGATCTCTTTGGGATATAGTCCTAGTAGTGGCATTGCTGGGTCAAAGGGTATGCACAATTTTATAGCCCTTTCAGCATGGTTCCATATTGTTCTCCAGAATGATTGGACCAGTTCACAACTCTGCCAACAGTGCATTATTGTACCTATTTTCCCACATTTCCTCCAGCATTTGTACTTTGTTTTTCTGTCATGTTAGCCAATCCAATAGGTATGAGGTGGTACCTCAGAGTTGTTTTAATTTGCATTTCTTCATCTGAAAACTGCCTGTTCCTATCTTTTGACCATTTATCAATTGGGGAATGATTTTTATTCTTATAAATTTGACTTAGCTCTCTATATATTTCAGAAATGAGGCCTAATCAGAGACGCTTGTTGTAAAACTTGTTTTCCAGCTTTCTGTTTTCCTTCTAATTTTGGTTGCTTTGGTTTTGTTTGTGCAAAACCTTTTTGATTTAATATAATCAAAATTATCCATTTTACATTTTGTAATACTCTCTATCTCTTGTTTGGTCCTAAATTCTCCCCTTATCCATACATCTGACAAGTAAACTATTCCTAGCTTTCTTGATTTGCTTGTGGTATCATCACCCTTTATGTCTAAATCATGTACTCATATTGACCTTATCTTGATATACAGTGTAAAATGTTGGTCTGTACCTAGATTCTGCCATACTATTTTCCACTTTTCCTGGCAGTTCTTGTCAAATAGTGAATTCTTGTTCCAAAAATTGGAATCCTTAGGTTTAACAAACACTAGATTATTGTAGTTATTTATTACTGTGTCTTGTGTACCTACTGTGTTCCACTGATCTACCACTCTATTTCTTAGCCACTATCAGATAGTTTTGATCATTATTGCTTTATAATATAGTTTGAGATCTGGTATGGCTAGGCCACCTTCCTTCACATTTTTGTTGTCATTAATTCTCTTGATGTTTTTGACCTTTTATTCTTCAGGTAGATTTTGTTATGATTTTTTTCCTAGTTCTATAAAATAGTTTTTTGGTAGTTTGAATGATATGGCACTGAATAAGTAAGTTAGGTTAGGCATAATTGTCATTTTTATTATATTGGTTCAGTCTACCCATGAGCAATTGATATTTTTCCAGTTGTTTAGATCTGACTTTATCTGTGTGAAAAGTGTTTTGTAAATGTGTACATATAGTTCCTGGCTTTGTCTTGGCAGGTAGACTCCCAAATATTTCATATTGTCTATAGTTATTTTAAATGGAATTTCTCTTTCTGTCTTTTGCTACTGGGCTTTATTGGTAATATGTAAAAATACTGATGATTTATGTGGGTTTATTGTACACCTTGCAACTTTGCTAAAATTGTTAATTATTTCACCTAGTTTTTTAGTTGATTCTCTAGGATTCTCTAAGTATACCATCATATCATCTGCAAAGAGTGATAGTTTTGTTTCCTCATTGCCTGTTTTAATACCTTGTGTTTCTTTTTCTTCTCTTATTGCTATAGCTGACATTTCTAAGGCAATATTTAATAACACTGGTGATAATGGACATCCTTGCTTTACCCCTGATCTTACTGGGACGTTTTCTAACTTACCCGCATTACAGATAATGCTTGCCTATGGTTTTAGATAGATACTACTTATCATTTTAAGGAAAGCTTCATTTATTTCTATGATTGCTAGTATTTTTAATAGGAATGGTTTTTTTCCATCATATTTTTAAAAACTCGAATTAATTATCTGATTTGCATTTTTCACTCAAGTGGTTTCTATAAATATTATCATTATTTCTCATTGTTACTGACGTGGACTTCTGCATATACCATTTGTTTGTTTCTACATCTCTATCTTCAGACAAGTCATTTCTGTCATTTAAAAAACTCTCTACTACATCTTCCATACCCCATTCCTTCATTAAACCTAGCTCAAAACTAACTCCTTGGCATTGTGTTCTTTCTTTTTTCAAATAAATTTTTATTGATGTCTTCAGTTTTTTCCATCACCATAGTTTCTCTCAGCATTATTCTCCTCTCTCCTTCCCTTAGAGCCATCTCATAGAACACCTAGATATTTGAAAGCTGTTAAATATTTAAGGGGGTATATTTTGTCTTAAAACAGATAAGTTTACAATAATAAAGAGTAAATGTTAAACACTAGACTACTATGGCTATTTACTTCTGTGTATTGTGTGCCTAATCTATTTCATTGATCTGCTACTCAATTTCTTAGCTAATACCAAATTGTTTTGATGATTACCACTGTGTAATACAGTTCAAGATCTGGTACTTCTAAGCCACCTTCCATCACATTTTTCCCCATTGATTCTCTTGATATTATTTGTTTTTTATTCTTCCAGATGAATTTTGTTATGATTTTTTCTAGCTATATAATTTTTTTTTTGCTAATTTGGTTAGTATGCCACTGAGTAAAGTAAATTAATTTAGGTAGAATTGTTATTTTTATAATGTGGGCTCAGCCTACCCACAAGCAATTAATATTTCTCTAGTTGTTTAGATCTTACTTTATTTGTGTTTTGAAGTATTTTGTAATGTGATCATATAGTTCCTGGTTTTGTCTTGGCAGGTAGCATGATTCACTTTTAATTTTTTTTTTGTGGTTCTTTCCATTTACATTTTTGTAGTCATTGTGTGTATTTTTTTTTTGTGGGGGTGAGGTTCTGATTATTTTGCTTTCTATCACTTCATATAGATTTTCCTATGCTTCTTTGTATTCATCAGATTTCTTATTTTGTACAGTACAGTAATATCAATTACATTTATATACCACAATTTATTTAGCCATTCTCCAATCCGTGGGCACTGACTTTGATTTCATTTCTTTGCTATCACAAGAAGTGTTGCTATAAATATTTTGGCCTTTATAGGGGCTTTCTTCTTATCAGTGGCTTCCTTGGGATATGACCCCAGTATTAGAATCTCTGAGTCAAAAGGAATGGACATTTTAATCACTTTATTTGCATAACTCCAAAATGCTTTCCAAAATGGTTGTACCATTTCATACCTCCATCAATAACATATTAATATGCTTATCTTCCCAAAACTCATCCAACATTGACTCTTCTCATCTTTTGTCATCTTTACTTAAATCCTTTTGTAATGAACATCAACTCATTCTGTTGTTCCCTCTTTCTGTTCCATTCTATAGTGTTTCTGTATGCTATTTTATTATACTTCAGTATTTTAAGGATCAACTATTTCATCTTTTTGTGCGTGTATGCTCTGTCTACCAATGCAAATTAGTCTTTCTGTATTTTGGTAGGTGGTCTTTGAGTTACTGTGGCAGAAAAATCCATCGTTTTGTGACCAGTCTTTATGAACTTTTTTGAACTTGCCTGGAATGTCATCTCTCTAATGACAACATACAGTTCCAATACAAGGTCTATACTCGAAACCTTTTTCTGTTAGCATAGTCTTTAAGACCCAGGGTTTTCTCTGTATCATCACAGTAGGACTTAAGTAGAGGATATTATTTTATTAATATTCTTAAATCTTTTTCATTTCTTAGATATGTTTATATTTCCAACTATACTGTAAACTTTGTGAGAGTGAGGTTTTTTTTTTCTTTCATATCCCTTACCTAGCATCTCATATAATATTTATTGACTGACTGACTGAAAAAGAAGCAGGGATATGACTCGGACTATTGACTGTTCTAAGAGATTGTGACTATTCCTTTGACTTAGACTTCTTACTGTTAAATAATAAAATGATTTTTTTTTACTGTCCCCTAGTTGCAGCAGATCAACTTCATGAGCCTAATGCAGATAGTAGGGTCATCGTTTGCCACCCTTCCCAATGTACAGCCCACACTGCAGTCTCACAATGTGCATTTGGAGAGAAGCCAAATTTCACTCCCCACAAGAGGCAGTGGTGATGTTGAGCCCACAGGTATACATCTTAAGAAAGATTTCCTACTTGGATCCATTGGAGAAAATTCCAGACAGTTTGAAAAGAGCCAACCTCATCATGAAGGAATTGTCCAGTGTGATCAGAACAAAGTTGGAAATAATCAGGTACCTTATATAATGCAAAACATAAAAGATTTTGTGATTTCTAAGAGGGTTTTTTTTTGGTTATTTGATTAAACTATATTCTCTAGTAGCTAATGTTCCTGTCACTTAAAAAAAAATCACTATACATCCCATATTTAAAATAAGGAATTCTGAAATATTTTCTACAGTTCTAAACTATCTCGTTTTTTCTCTTTCAGAATATTCCATCCTTTTGTGTTCCTTCAGGTCACTTAGATGGTCAATCTAATAATGGAAGAGTAACTCCAAAATGTCAAGGGTTGTCCACCACTCCAAGTTCTCAAACTTGTGCTGCAAACAATCACTTCCATTTGTTGTCCACCACACCCACCATTCACAAGAGCCCTGTACTTATTCCGGCTGTAAAAACCTTAAATCCTGCCAGTGGTTTTCCTTTGCTTAAGATTCAAATGAAGCATGAATTCAAACCCCTCTCTCTCCATCCAGTAAGAACTCCACAAGTTACAGTCAGACCCCCTCCAGAACCAAAAGAGGCCTGGAATTCATCCAGTTCTGAAAAAAAACTTCATTCAACAGCACAGAGCATCACTCCAACATCCCATTTGAATTTGAGCCAGTATGATGTGGAAACTGTGCAGAAAGCCCTTGAGCAGAAGAGATGGGCAGAAATAAGAACTATAGAAACCCCTAAGCATCTCAACTTAGATCAGTATGTTGAACAAGAAACCTTGACACCTCAACAGGACTCTTCAGCAAAAAAACAAGAAAAAATATTTTATATGAAACCAGAGCCCTCTGAGATACCTAATCAGAATTTTCTTGGTATTCCTTTATTACACCTGCAACTTAATCCTACTACTAGGTTTTCACCAGCCTTGACAGCATCAGTTTCTACACCCTCAATCCCTAGTAGACCTAAAGAAAAAGAAAGAGACTCAAAAGAAATCTTGTACCCAAGCATAAAATTGCTTCATACTTACTTACCCCCAGAACACAAGGTAATAGATTTTAACAACTTAATTTAATAGCAGAGCAGTACAAATATATGATTGCTTCAATGAAAATATTTTTGAATTTCCTATTTTAATAACATGATTTCTTATAGAAAAGATATTACCAACTAATACATTTAAACTAATAATATGATATGCCATATTAGAGTGGAAGGAGCACTGGATTTGGAGCCAGAGGATTTGGGTTTAGATCCTAGCTCTTTTACTGTTTCTATGGGCACATCACATCATACCTCTGAACCTCAATTTCCTCATCTGTAAAATAAGAGCTTTGGACTAGAGGATTCTGAAAGTCCTTAACACTAAATGCTATGGATTAGATTTTTTAAAATTATTTATTTATTTTTGGCATTCTTTTTTAAAAAATTTTGAGTTCCAAATTCTTTCCTTCCCTCTCGCCCCTCCCCTCACCTATTGAGAGGGCAAGCAATATGATATTGATTATACATGCTAAACATATTTCAATATTAGTCATGTTGCAAGAAAAATAAGAACAATAAAGTGAAAAAATTATGCTTCAGTTTACACTCAGAATTCTTCAGTTTTCTATAGATAAGATATTTAAAAGGTCTCACTGTAGTCAAATAACAAGGAAGCCGCCTTACTAAGATTTGAGAGCAAGGAGGAGGTAGGATCAGTTGTATTGGGCATTTTTACCTGCTTGTAGTTATCTAGCATATTTAAGTAGCAATGAAGCAAGCAAATCATAGTGCTGGTGTTGATCCTTTTATCACTGAGATTACACTGTATAACACTGTTTTGGGTTAATTTTGTTTGAGGAGGAAGTAAGAGGCGGAGCCAAGTAGAGCTTCTGATATGTGGTGCAATAGAATTGTTGCAGGATTTTGAACTTTTATTTCTGCTTGTATTCATCAGCTATTCTGGAAGGTGGCCAGGAGAGGGAGTGGTATGTGCATTTCCTTCACTGTTAGGGAGTCCAAGAGCAGGGGCTTTTGGCAGTGCCATCGGGAATGGGGTGGATTTTCTAAGGAGTTGGCTGCTCCTTCTCCTGTAATGACTGCAGCTGAACAGGCTGGATTGTCCACTGTTTCCTATTCCTCTCCTGATTAACTGGTTTAGTCCAATGGATGAGAAATCCTGGTTATTGCTCTGTGGCTGTAGTGCTCCTAAAATCTAGTACTGTTTAAATACCAAATCATTTTGATAGCTTCTTGCTTGTGAATTTTAATTTAATTAGAAGCCATTCTTTTTGTGACAGTATTTAAATTAGGGTTGGGTTTTTTTTTTTAATTTTACTTTTAACTGCATGGTTTCCTCTCTCTTTCACAGTGCCAAAAACCAAAGTTCATTCCACTTGAAAATCTCATTGCATTTAAACAAAGCCAGCAGAAACAATCACTTAATTTATTTGAACATGTGAAACCTGGGAATATCCACCTTTTAAAGGCCAAAATAGATCCAAAAAAGGAAAATAAAAAAAGGTAAGTTTTAAAGTAAGATTTTGTGAAAATAAGTTAGAAAATTCATTATTAATTGTAATCATATACATGGAATCTTAGAGCTGAAATAAATTTTGAAGTCAATTATGATATAGTGAAAAAAATACTAGATTCCCAAGTTTGAGTCCTACCTATGTCACTTAATAGCTTTGTGTCCTCACATAAGTCATTTACCTCTTTGAGCCTCAATTTCTTTACCTGTCAGATATGACTAATAATACACTGCTGACATCATAAGGTGGTTATTAAAATCAAATAGAAGAATGTTTGTAAAATACTATTTGGGGAGGCAACGTGGTATAGTAGTAAGAGGCACTGGTCTTAAAGTCAAAATATCTGGATTCAGGCCCTGCCTCTAATACTTAATATTTGTTTGACCCTGGGAAACTCATTTAACCTCTCACAGCCACAGTTTCCTCATCCATAAAGTGAGAAAATAATATACTACCTACATCATAGTTTGTTGTTAGAAAAGTGCTTCATAAACCTTTAAGCTGCTATTTACATTTGAGTTGTTATTATTTATTCCAGCTGTCTTCTTAGTGCAAGAATTACTGCTATGGTATTGCTGAACTCTAGTTAATTGGTAGAGCTGGGAACAAAATCACATCTCTTAACTCTGCACCTGATGCTTTACCCCATAGCCTTTTCCTGTTTTTAAAGTTGTCTTCCAAAATGTGGTCTTATTCATTTAACTCAGTTTATTTCAAAATATTCCGTAAGTTTAAAGGTTCATGCATTTTGCTCATGAAAGATAAAAGTGCAGTTGTTTCATCCCTTTATTTCTCCTTCAGTGGGTAGAATGAAATTAAAGCAAATTCTATATTCTTTTTTCTAAAAAAATTTTATTTCCTTAAATATTTCCCGATTACATTTAAAAAATTTTAACATTCATTTTTAAAAATGTCAGGTTTCATATTCTTTCCCTCTCTCCCTACTCTCACTCACCCCTTGAGAAGGCAAGCAGTATGATATAAATGATACGTGTATATGTGGGAAGTCATGCAAATGTATTTCCTCGTGTTACAAAAGGAAACACACAAAAAACAAGAAAAATAAAGTGAAAAAAGTATGCCTCAGTCTGTACTCAGAGTCATCAGTTCTCTCTCTGGAGGTGGATAGCATTTTTCATCGTGGTTCCTTTGGAGTCATTTTGGATCATCGTCTTGATCAGAGTAGCTAAGCCTTTCACAGTTGCTCATCCTTAGAACATTGCTGTTACTGTGTGTATGTTCTCCTGGTTCTGCTCACTTTACTTTGCATCAATTTATAGAAGACTTCCCAGGTTTTTTCTGAAACCATCCTGTTCGTTATTTCTTATAGCACAATAGTATTCCATTACAATTATATACCTCAGCTTGTTCAGCCATTCCCCAATTCGTGAGCATCCCCTCAGGTAATAAGGAGCTGCCAGAATTATTGAGAAAAGCAAGCTGACAGGCACCAAATATTGCTAAGTGCTTACTCTGTGCCTGGGCACTATACTAAGTGCTGGAGATACAAATAAAGGCAAAAAAGAAAGACAGTCCTTGCCTTTAAGGAACTTAGGTTCTAATGAGGAAAGGCAACACACAAAAGGGACAGGAGGAAGATGCCCATGCAGCAGCATGACATTGAAGTCCAAAGGTAAACAGAGCCAGGAGGAGAATAAAAGTTCATTGGTTTGGGACCTTCCCCAGAAGAGAGGCCCAGGAAGGAAATCAGAAAAGGGGTTTGGCATAGTGGAGTGCTGTTTCATGGTAGGAATGCTGCAGAGGTGGATGGATGTTCCTGGGGGAGGAGGCCCCAAGGATCTGAGGGAAGTTTTAGAATGAGACAGCAGCTGAGGCACTGATTGGGAGAATCACATGGACCAGCTCCCTTTATCTTTGAGTTCACCCCAAGGCTCTGAGCTTGGCTTTTCTTTTTTCATTTCTACACTTTCTCAGCTGGTGACTTCACTTTAGGAAAATCACTTTGGTAGCTAAATGAAGGATGAGTTGGAATGGAGAGAGACTTGATGCAGGGAAACTGTTTAGAATGCATTTGCGATATTGGTGAATGCTGAGGTCCTGAACTAGGATGTGAGTGGAGGTAGAAATGATAAGATTTGGCAATTGACTAACTAGATGGAGAGTGAAAAGTTAAGACTACACCAAGAAGTTGTGTGCATGGGAGACTAGAAGGATATTGAAGCCCATAACAGAAATAGAGAAGTTTGGAAGAGGGACATGGATTTTGGAAAAAGATAATGAACTGATGTGTTAAGTTTCAGAGGCCCCCAGGACATCCAGTTCAAAATGCTTAGTCTGTAGTTGCTGCAAGACAAGAGCTCAGAAAAGAAACTAGAGACTGCCTGTTCTCCAGTCACCTGTGCTGGGTCTTCACCTGGGTCACTTCTAGGAACTGGGGGTGTCAGCCCCCCAGGGTTGTGTCTTAGGCCCTCTTCTTCCCTCCATTCTGCTTCATTTGGTGATCTTATCAGTGCCTAAGGATTCACTTATCATCTTTATTCAGATGATTCGCAGATCTGCTTGTCCAGCCCTAACCTCTTTCCTATGTAAAATGTAAAAATGTACAGGAGAGGGCAGTTCAGAAGGGTACAGAGACAAATAAGGTGGTAGTGTTGGCACTACTTTTAAATTCAATATAAACTTTTTCTTTTAAAGAAAAATAGAAATAGAAATATACAAAAGAAATCCCTACCCCACCCCACCCCAGAAAAGATGTTATTCTCTCAT